CACCGCAAAAGATTATAATAATACAATAACATAACAAGCTATGATGACAATATGCAAATATTTTCACTAATATAAGGCCATCACCAAACTATAAAAAAAAAATAGTCACAATTTTGTAAGAAAAAGCAAATTTAAGTTTGTTTTAAAATATAAAAAAGATAGGAGAATACTAGTAAGAATACATCAATCAATTTCTTATTTGCATACTAGACAGAAGGGATCTACTAATAGGTAGAGGAAGTCTTATTAAAACTCCAATTAAAAAAAAAGTTTTATCGTTCTTGACCATCTAAACTAGTCATTAGTTCAAGCTGTACCATTTAACACAATTACAGTTATAAATAGTACCTATCATGTAGGATTACCTTCACCTAAACATTTTTTTATCGGAAAAAAAATTGTTTCTATTTATAACAAGAAAGAGGGAAGAATTTATGTATACCAATAAATGTATGAGGGCAAATGGAGAGGGGAGAATAATATATATTATTATATATATTATATATTATAACTATATATTCCTGGCAAACAAAAATTATAAAAAAATATATATCATGGGTAGGGCCAAACAGATAGGGTAGTATACCCTGCCTATGATATGCCCAACCCAAAAGTACCCTTTTTTTTTGCTGCTTTTTTTTTTAGCTAGGCTAGGTGATTTTTTCTCATGCTCGGGCGGGTACACTGGACTAGCGGGCTTGATGAACACCCCTACCTAGGTGGCAATATATAAAATGTCATTAGAAAATAAAAGAGAAGGAGGCTATACAATAGATATCACAAATCTATGCCTCCGAACCCTTTCCCAAGGTACTGGCACCATAACTACCAGCTGAAAAACATTAAGAGCCATGAGATGAGACAAACACCTTAGTAGACATTCCAACTCATCATGTATATTAATATGTGCTTGTGGGGTGCCAAGTAGGATCAATACAAGAAAAGTCATAGAATTATCAGTTCAATAATTTTCATAGCTCATCAGGTTATAAAATACCAAATAACCTCCCATGAAGCCATCTGAATCACCTTATTCCCTCCAACTAGACATATGAGCTAAGTATCTATCTATGTTACTGGCCACTCAAAAACTCAGTAGACGTGTGATGAGGACCAGCCAAAATCCCCAGAGCACATAACTAAACCATGAGTCTTTCTCTCATCATATGGACGAGGTGTTGTAGCCCTCATTGAACCAATAGGGTAGTCCCTCGTTGAACCAGTGGAGCAAAAATTGAGCCAACCATTATACACCAATAGGGGTCTTATCACATGATAGGATAACTAACCTAACACCAATCCAAACCAATCATTTTAGCATGCACATCATTGGGGTTTCACAAAATAATCTAGGTCATTGCATTTATGCGATACATATCAATAGGATTAAACTCCTAAATCATGCTTTCACAATTCAATAAACAATTCCCACAAGGCAAGTTCTATTAAAAGACTATTTCTAACATCATCTCATTTCTCAAATCATATAAATATACACAATTTCACAATTTCTCACAAACACATATCAACATACACAACAAGTAAAAAATAGTTACCTCTTACCAAAGCAAGGAGAAGAATATACCACAATTACCTCAGGTTCGAGCCATAAACTCATAAGTGGTCTACATATATAAACCATGAACACCAATCAAATACAAAAAATACTAAAGTGGCTTAGTACAATAAGTAGTAGAAGTCCTAACCTCTAGGTGTCTAAAACTCACCATAACAATAAATCAACCTATTCAATACTAAACTAAGTGTCACAATAGCTTAATAAACTTATCTAAACCATTCCTTAACCTCAAATTACACAATTAAATCAAAATCCCAATTTACACACTTGGTCTTCAACCTCAAGATACTCATTTGAGCAATTCAAGCTTTATCAACAATCTAAAAATTATATATCAATTCTAACTCAAATTAGCATAATCCAACCACCAAAACTCATTTTCAATCTCCACATTAACAATAACCATCAAAATCCTCAATAAATACCGAACTCTGAGCTCAAAATCTCTAAAACTCTAAATACAAGAAATCTAAACTGATTAAATACTTAATCTAATCAATATAACTCATTTAAACCCAAAACATTAGGTCAAAACTTCACCCATTTCGAAAACCTCAAGAAAACCTAGAATTCACCATCCAAAATCTGAAATTTCAAGAGAGAAAGTAAAAATCAAGTTAGAATCACTTACTTGAGGTGTTAGAACCTCAAAAACACCTTCCAAGGTTGAAACATGGAAGCCCAAGCAGAGCATAAAGCTTTCCTCCTCCAAAACTTCTAATTTTTCAAACTAATACATGACCTCCATATTTATAAAATCATGCCTTCGTCTCAATAAAAGATTATGTAGAAAGGGTTGCTCACTCACTTTGGCCAACTCTGCCGTAGCACACTCCCTCCTTCACCATGGTGAAGAAACCCAAGACACTTCTCTTTCTCCCTAGCAAGGTTCGCCGCAGCGAAAAACCCAAAACAAGGTTGTTCGCCTTAATTCACCCTCCATTCCAACTTCAACTCCCCCAAAACTAAACTTAACCTCAAAACTCAATATTAAGCACTCAACTACTCGAATCAAAGCTTTAGGGGTTGCTAAACCTCAGGATTAAAATTTAGGATGTTACAGGTATCACCTGGTTTTTACCAAAAAGAAAAATAAAAGTACTGTAAGGAATAAGCGCTGCTATAAGGATGGATACAGTACAAACTACAAACCATCATATACAAACCAAAAATAAACAAAACCAAACGCATGATAGATGTATAGAAAATAGTTTCTTTTATACATTGAAACCAACAAATTAATGAAGAGTAAAAGTTGGGTGCAATAACTTGAAGTATTTTTAAGGGAAGTTTTTATATAGATAACATTAAATATTTTTTCATAATGATTTATATTCGATAACGAAAAAATCTTCCTCAAATATGACTTATAATTTGATAACTGACCGAGTTTTTTTTTTAAAAGAGCAAAAAGTATCTTTCTAAAACCTGATTAAAATTAACAGCAGGCGGGACTGGGGATAATAATGCAAATTATAACATAACTTTGATTCAGTTTTTGACTTTGTTTTTTTGGGGCCAAACAGCTTTGCAATTGATTCAGTTTTCGACTTTTTGTTTTTTTGCGGCCAAACATGCAGCTTTACAATTAAGCAGGTGAAACCAGTGAAAGTAATGCGCAGTGAATCGGGCAACGGAAAATCGTTGATAGTAGTTCAAGAACCAAGGATGGTGGTTGAACTGGCTAGGGTTAAACAAACAATGATTAAAATAACATAATTTAATTTAATTAAAAAGTTGTTCATATATAAATTTGAAAAGAAAAATATTTAAATAAAAATATTAAGAGTAAATAAACTATACATAATTCAATAAAATAGAGTTATTAAAGTATATACATGACCGAATTATTATTTTTCTAACTTAAAATAACATCATTTTGGGTTAAACAAGAAAATAACAAAATAAAATTTAACTTTTGACCCAAACAGTTAGAGGACTAGTTTGATGAGGCGACCTATTAAATTTTAAGGGAAGTCAGTGAGGTTTAAAGTTTTTCTAATTTTTAATGAAATACGTTAGGAATATCATATAAATAGGCCTCTAACTTGTTGTAAGAGCTTGTATATCATATTTGTTTATTTCATTTTTATTTTCCTTGTTATAAAATAAAAATCCGAAAAAATAGTAGCTAATAGCAGGTAATTAGAACAACATCCTGATTCATCGCTTCGCATCTACATTAAGGATGATTAGTATTTAGATTTGAGTGCAGAGAAATATATTAATTCTCTAATTTTTAATATAAGAGTTAAATGACTAATTTATAAATATTAAGAAAATTTATTAAGTTAGTTGTTTTGTAACAAATGTATATTGCTTTTCTTAGAATACATTTTCTAATCACATGCATTATAACTATTTTTTAATAGGAATTTCCTTACGGCATGCAAATCAATAGGATGCTTTGAAAAAATTATAAATTTAGGATATAAAATAGATTAAGATCTTAATTATACTTATAATCAAATCAAATAAATTTTTATTTTTCTATTAAATACTATTTCTAATTCTTAACATAAGAGCTAGTTGGAGATTGAACTTAATTCTAAATATAAGATATCAACTCACTTTATTTTCAAATTTGTAATTCATTCTAAAATATCCTTATGGATTATATATGTCAAAGGTTTCTACCTAAGGGTAGTCAAGATTAAAAAGAATAATTTAGAAAAATCAACTTGTATTTATTACAAATAACTAACTCAACTAATTTTCTTAATTTACTTAAATTATTTATATAACTCTTATAGTACCTCCAATTCTTAAGAAAATTAGTTAAATTAGTTATTTGTAATAAATATGTCTTGTCTTTTCTAAAATATCCTTGCTAATCAAATATATTGGCTAGGACTACTATTATTATAAGGACTACTTTGAAAAAAAATAGATAAATATAAGAGACAAAATATATTTGAATCTTATATTTAGAATCAAAATAAAAATTAAATTAAATAAGCCGTTATATTAAGCACGGGAAGTAGGATTAAATAACAAGTTGGCAGTTGTCCAAGAATTATCTCACTTTTTTGGGCCAAAAGTGTTGTCTCTCACTTTCAGAAGAATTGAATAACAACGTCTTAGTACTCTGGCTAATATGTGCACACACCAAAAAAAAAAAAAGAAGCCAATGCGTTCGTTGTGAGCGTCCAAATTCTTGCAATTTATAACTCTCTCTCTTTCCGCTCATCGAAATCGAAGTGTGCATGAAGATTTCTCTTTCTTCGAGTCAGTTTTATATCAAGGTTAATTTATTTTTTAATTTGATTTGAACCACGGACGAATCCTTCCACCATTAAGATCTAGACTCGCTCTCCTTCCCGCGAAAACCTCACTTCTCTCTTCTCTCTCGCGATCTCTCTCCCTCCTTCTCTCACACTGATGTGCACAATGCCATGAAGAACCTCCAAACTGATGATCGATGTCGAGCAATTCCCTGCCGTCATCGCATCTCTCCGACGTATCGCAGACGAATCCCACCGGCAATGATTCCACTTCGAACATATCATCGCCGGCGTCATCACGAGCCAAGCTCCAGAAAAGTCCTCCGATTCCAAATCGGTGGACTACTGCGATAGAGGAAGAAGGCGAGCAAAGAAATGAGGAGGCGGTACGTAAACTAGAACAGGCGCAAATCGAAGATGCTAGTGCTTCTATTTTGCTTGCATCGTCTTTAGGGCTCAATCACATCCGGACTCGCTCGGCTTCTTCGCCTCTTCGGTTTCCGTCCCTGGCCGAAGCGTCTCCCAGTTCGAGCAAGGATTTTGTCGGAACTGACGATCGGACCAACGTCAAATCCATTATTTCAACGGATCTTGGTATAAGATTATTCTGAGCAAAAAATAATATAAGTTGTTATATATCTGGCATATATATCTTTGCTTTTAAACCTCACGGTTGAAACGATCACTCATAACTACTTATTGTTACTTGCGTCGTTATTCTTCTACTCCTAGGAAAGAGGATATATGGGACTCAATGTAAATTGTCAAGAGCTCCTTCCCATGCTGTTCCTCTCATGCAGGTGATAATACAGTCTTCATTATCAATTCGGATTTATTCAATAAAGTTGTTTCAACTCAATAATTTTCTAGCTGAGTTAGAGGAATGTAGGTGGCTCAGGTTCCTCACGTTGCATATTATGCGTAGGGTAACGATGATACATTTGCCAAAGAACTGCAGTCGCCGCGTGTTCAAGCAATACTGCGTGTCACAAGTGGACGCAAGAAGAAACCCGTTGATTTCTTCAAAAGCTACTCTCATGAGCTCAACTCAAAAGGATTCAGACCTTTTCCAGTTTGGAAAAATCGTGCGTTGGGGCATATCGAGGTGCATAATTAATCCTTTGAATGGAGTTTTCTGTCAGTTGTTTATCCATTTACTACATTATTTTAGTTTATTTCCTGGTAAGGAGAATGATGGGAGCATATTGATTATTGATAGTGTGTAGTCCGAGTGGTATATGTAAGACTTTATTTTTTACTTTATTTTCAAATATACCATGTCCAATCAATTTCGTGATTGTAGGGCATCTGAAACAAATATTTATTTAGAAGTTTCCTAAGCATTTATCAATCGGTTATTTAGAAAAGTTTATATATCTTGGGCACTTAATGGTTCTAACATGAATATTATATTTCATCTCAGGAGGTCACGGTGGCCATCAGAACTAAGTTTGGAAAGCTAAAGGAAGAAGTTGATTCTGAATTAAATGCTTTTGCCGGAGATTTGGTGGGACTCCTGGAAAAAATTTCAGAATCTCATCCGGAATGGAGAGAGAGCTTGGAGGATCTGTTAATTATTGCCCAACAGTGTGCAATGATGTCGCCCAGCGAGTTTTGGATGAACTGCGAAGCCATTGTTCAGAATTTAGATGACAGACGTCAAGAGTTACCGATGGGGATTCTCAAACAAGCTCATACACGCCTACTGTTTATCCTCACTCGATGCACACGTCTCGTGCAGTTCAACAAAGAGAACATCTGTGAACAGGATCACATTCTGGGCCTCCACCAACTCAGTGATCTTGGTATATATAGAGAGCAAATTTTGCATGCTGTAGAACATAAATCCATGGGTGGAAACGATATGGCTGATGAGGAGCAGCTAATAAAGCCCCATGAAAAAGAACCAGACAATCAGATATTAAATCAAATCCAAGTTGATCAGCATGTGAGTACTGCAACTGACACTGCCAGAAGTGGTGATTCAACTGGAAGCAGCTATAAGATTTCATCTTGGAAAAAGTTTCCAAGTCATGAGAAGTCTAAACATAAAGGTCACGAGGCCGAAGATTTGTCTTCCAAGGAAGAACAGGATCAGGTTCAAGTCAAAGAAGAAAATGTCGAAAACGTGGATACTGATTCATCCAATCCTGAACAATCAGAACTATCCTCCAGAGCCCAAAAGCTACACTGGGGATTCTGGGGAGATCACCACAATCTAACATATGAGAACTCAATGATCTGCAGAATCTGTGAGGTTGAGATACCAATTGTATATGTGGAGGAGCACTCTCAAATATGTACTATTGCTGATAGATGCGATTTAAAAGGCCTTACAGTAAATGAACGGCTTGAAAGATTTGCTGAAACTATTGAAAAGATAGTAGAATCGTGGACGCCTAGAAGCACACCTAAAAGCACCCCGAAAAGCACTGATGGTCCTGGAGAAAACTTTGAGAATGCGAGAGTATCTACGTCAAGTTTGCATGATGAATTCAACGACTTATCTCTTGAGAGGAACAGCTTATCTCGCAGGGGCTCACAAGACCTGCTTGATTCTGTTCCTGAAGATGACAGTGCTTTTGTTAAGGATGATATGAGCCTTTTGCCAAAAATGTCATGTGAAACATATATCAAACATGATCAATGCTCAAAGATGTCTTCGGTGGGAAGCTTGACACCAAGATCACCGTTATTAACCCCACGAACAAGCCAAATAGAAATGTTATTAAGTGGGCGAAGAACAATATTGGAGCTTGAGAGTTATTTCCAGGTAAACTTTGGTTGTGGTTGTTATTCTTTGGACAACGGAATATACTTAAAAACTTTAGCTGATATAAAACCAAATATTCTGCGTCAATAAATGTACTTGGATCAATCACTTATGTTTCTTTGCTTGTGATCTTTATATTGTCCACTCTTATTTCTTAATCTTATAATGCTGGCTTTTATACACAAAAAGATACCATGAGTGATTGCCCAATATTACTAGTAATATATATACTCTATGGATTACTTTAAAGCCGGAAAATAATTATCCTTTTTATTTATCAACAATTTTTAAAATATTAATATATATATTAATTTTGAAAGAAACATGATGAAGGATGCGAATAAAAATAGTTTTATTGTAAATTAAAACTTAAAAAAAAATAAAAGTAAAAATGATCCAAATCTACACGGCTGGAGAATCTATTTCTTTTACACATTTCATTTTTCAGTAGCGCGTGTGTATTGCAGAAGTGTCAAAATTTTTCTTTGGAAATTAATCCCCCCGGGGGGGCGGGGCTGTTTACCTACTTATATTACTTGAGAGGAAATAACATTTCGTTGATAACTTTCCTTTATAATGTCCTGCTATCATTCTTTGTAATTTTTCTTTTTTTTTTTCTCGAGTGAATTTGTAATTTTTCTTACTTTACTACTTTCACATTGATATCGACTTTGTCATGGCAGATTATCAAACTAGTGGAAATTGCTCGTTCTGTTGCAAATGTGAATGACTACAACTATGTAAGTCGTCGCGTAGAAGAACTAAATCTCACCATTCAGGACAGAAAAGTCGATGCTCTTATTGTCGAAACTTTTGGGCGACGCATAGAGACTCTCTTGTCGTGAGTATTTTTGTAGTGTGAGCTTCTCTGTTTCTATCTTTTTCTTTGTCATATTTTTAATTTAGAATAATTTTTTTTTAATTTGTTTGGATGAACTACCTAATGTTTCAATTCTGGTACATCTCGTGGTGGTGGTGTTCATCAACATTTATTGCATGAACATGGGCCTGCCAAAGCGGTAACGCCCATCGTATCATCATCTACCACCTTAAAACAAGAAGGTGGGGGGGCACGAATGTTCTAAATCCCTAGAAGAAGTTGGCCAGAAAATCAAAAACACTGCCGCAAGAAAAACTTATACACGTGTCTATATATAATCTGTTCATATGCATCTTGTTTCTTGACAGGGAAAAATATCTATCTCTTTGTCATCAAATAGACAACGAAAAGGTAGACTCATCGAATGGATTGGCTGAAGAAGAGAGTTCAGTGGAAGATGATAATGTTCGAAGCCTTCGTGCTAGCCCAATTCATCATAGTTCTAGGGATCGAACCTCCATTGAAGACTTTGAAATAATAAGACCAATAAGCCGAGGTGCATTCGGACGAGTTTTCCTTGCCCGGAAAAGAGCAACGGGAGATTTATTTGCCATAAAGGTTAGAAATGGTTTCTTACAAAACAAAAATTCCCTTGAAGGTTTCTTTCTTTGATCGTATGTAAATTTCTTCATTCGATAGGTAGAATTATGATGTCTGTTTTCATATAGAAACACTGCAGTAAGTGGGTGGGATCCTGTAGTCCTGGCCTCCTCCTGAACTCTTTAATAGTTCAAGTCAAGCCCATGGAGAATTTATAAATCATCTTCTATTTTGTGACTTGCTTTTAGTAAGCAGCCTCTGAACTCTGTTTTGCCTACCCTGTTTTTAACATTTCATACTAGAGACAAGGCCAAATCTGGTTGATGCCATGTAGGAAAAAAATGAGATTTGGATGGCTCTGTAATTCATGGTTTTGCTCCATAGGTTTTGGAATACATAAATAGGAATATAGGCTAACAAGCCAGGCATAAAATATCATTCAATCCAATGATTTAAAAACCGGACCGGACCGGACGGTCGGACCGGTTGAACCGTCAGCCGGACCCGTTAACGGCTCGGTTTGGACCGAAAAACCGTTTATGTAGTTGAACCGGATTGGACCGGAGTTGAGCCGCCATTAAGCCGGAAACTGGAATTAGACCGGGAACCGGAACGGTTTTCAGAAAACCGGACGGTTTTTTAGCCTGACGAAAAAAATACTAAAAAATAAAAAAAAATTGACCCCCTCCAATATCCTAACATATTTTTAGACTATTTATAACCATATAGTATTATCTTATTGAAAATTTCACATATTGTGATATTAAAATTTTCAATCACTAGTCTTTTTGTTTTGATGTTTGCTCTATCTTTTAAAATAATTTTTGATTTGAATAAATTAATAATTTTTAATATTATTAAATATTTTAAACATACATAAATATAAATATATATATATAAGGTTTTAGTCATTTTCAATGATTTTATTATACTTTTGGATCATTTAAATACATTTCTAAATTATTTAATAATTTAATTTTTTCATATATATTAATTATATGTATATAATATTGTTTTAAATTAATTATTGCATCACCGATCCGACCAAACGGTTCGACCGGTCCGACCGATTGAACCATGACCCGTTGATCTTTCCGGTTCGACTTCCGGTCCGGCTTTTAAAACATTGATTCAATCGATGAATCAAAACATTTTGAATACATGATAAATATCATGAAATGCAAGAGAATTTAAAAAGGAATATACAATAAATTACACAAATCTGAAGTAGGAAAGACAATAAACACGTGCCCACTCATATGTAGAGTCACATGTTCACCAACAGTGTAATATGAATGTGGAAATAGAAAAAGAGAAGTTTAGGAGGGGTTTATTGCTCACACTTCAGAACAATCTTATTATTTTGATTAAACGTAGGCATGTGTTATTGTATTTGCTAGCACACTACTAGTTGGAGTACTTATCCAGCTAGTCCTTGGAGAACATGACGTTTAATTTAAAGTATATAGGCATAACGATGTTTTACGATTGAAGTTTCTTTTTTTTTTTTTGCCCCCCCTTTCTCAGCCCAGCATTGTTCATTGGTTATGGTTTTCTATTGTAAGTCTTGTTGCCAAAGTAATTAATCAGGTGATGAGAAAATTGTTAATATTTTTAATATTTTGTAGGTTTTGAAAAAAGCCGATATGATCCGTAAAAATGCAGTTGAAAGTATTTTGGCTGAGCGAGACATCCTTATATCAGTCCGAAATCCCTTTGTGGTGAGTAATGAGTAGGTCTTACAATTTGTTATTGAATATTGATATGATAATGTTATCCATATGAATATAATTATCTAATATAAGTAATTTATTGATGAACAGGTTCGATTTTTCTACTCTTTCACGTGTAGGGAAAACCTTTATTTGGTTATGGAATTTTTAAATGGTGGAGACCTTTATTCTCTATTGAGAAATCTAGGTTGTTTAGATGAAGATATGGCACGTGTATATATTGCAGAAGTTGTAAGCGTCCTAATCTTTGTATTTTGTTAATCTTGCATTTATTTATCTGTATTTCAGTTCAGTTCTTACAATGATTTATGCTTTACTTCTCATTTTCTTTCATTCTTTCATTTCTGTTTGTGATTCTTTGGCAGGTGCTTGCATTGGAATATTTGCATTCCCTACATGTAATTCATAGAGATCTGAAGCCTGATAACTTGTTAATTGGTCAAGATGGTCACATCAAGGTCAGCATTATACAATTTAAACGCAATCAGAAACAAACATCTTTTTTCTTTTTGTGGCTATGTTTCTGGGGAACTACTGTTTGAAAATAAGTGGTCCTCACGATGCGCCTTGGATAGGCTCTTTTTCTTGGATTTCCTAAACTAATCTGCTAGGCAAAGGTTTTCTCTAGTTATTGACTTCTTCATTTGGATTAACTTGGCCGTCCTTTTGAAGATTGTATGCCATTTAGGACTTTGCTCCCATCTTGTATGCCTGCTGATTCTCTCTTAATGAACCTTCTCGTAATCATCGTTCATTAACCTTTCCTCCAAATAGTGGATAAAACGACGTATTGTGCAAGAACCAACTGATTTCCCATCACATGCTTGTCCCTGGTGCACTCCTGGAGGTTAGTGTCCTCTTCTTGGGTGGCCATGAACAGGATGCTTTGGGCAGAGTTTTGGCATTTATGACTAGGCACAAACTTCTCCGGGCACCGGAAGCACAATCCTTTCGTCCTCGTCTTCCATTTCCTTCTTGCCCAGTTTCTAGAGATACGTCGCACCGTACTTTAGAGGCCTTCCCAGAAGTTGGGTTAACTTCTCCCTTCCCCATACTCCAGTTAGCGGAGCAACGACCCACTCTTGGGCCCGATATAACTCGAAACTGAAAGACATGTTTGCAGTGAAGCATAAATAGTTCGAAGATACCTCGGGTTTGCAGCCGGCTTCTTTGTAGCAGCGGATGTCGATTGAACTCTGAATTGAAGCCACCGCCCCCAATTTTAGTCCTCCAAGGCATTAGCTGAGAGTTAATGGTTTAGGGATGTGGATTAGAGCTATGTAAGTTCATCAAACTTCTATGTGAACTCCGCTGCTGAAGTCTTCTAATTTAAACTTTTCAACTTTGCCGTGGGATCCGCTTGTATGGTGAATGCTTGGTGCCATTGCCGTGCCTTTCCATTTAAGTGGATGCTAATCATTTTGGTTCTCTGTTCTAATTGTTTTTGGTCCACGTCGAAGAATTGCCTGCATTGAAATGATCACCTCTAGAAACTTCAGAAAGTCCAACCTGGTGTGTTTTGTCAGACTATTGTGGCTGAGACTCCACAAGTGTGTTGAACGTCGTGGAACAAAAATGGACCGGAAGTGGTAGAAGTGGTGTCGTCTGGTAGTCGAGCTAAGTTCACCGAGATCTCGCTCTCTACTCGTGACAGTTCTTCTACATTCTAATTTGTCTCTAATGGTTGAGAGGCCAAAATCTGATGCCGCAGCTTCAACCTGAGTTACCAAATTTTTAAGGCTTGTTAGCTCTTCCTTCATCTCATCTATGTCCTCCCGTGGCTGCCAGGCTCTCCTTCGAGCTCGCACATGCCCCTAGTTTCCTTTGCCATCGAACCGGTGAGCGACTTGTGCTCAAACAACAGTTGGTGCGTCTGATTCAAATAGAGATGCACGACTGATAATTCAAAGTCTCAGCCAATTTGAGAAATAAAATCGGCAAGATATATCAAGATAACTGGAGACCAAATCAAAACATAATCAGGGAGACTAAAGGGGGAAAAATGCTAAAAAAAATAAAAAGAGAGCAATTCTTTGGTCAACAGTTAAGTTAACAGGTCATCAACATGTGACGTACAAAATAACTGTTACGAAGGAGAATACACCTCTGGTTGACTATCAACACACAGAAATGAATGCTGCGAGAAGGCATGACTGAATAAAATATCTGATCATCTCTAAAATTGTATAACAACAGGCAGCCTTATCCTACAAGCTGGGATCAGCTACATAGATCGCGTGATTCTATTGTGCTCTATCAACAACTAAATCTTTATATAGGTTGTAAGGTCTTATTCAATGATTTTATTGAGCATTCTCCTTGGTCTTCCTCTGCTTTTTTTTAAAGGACTTCAAACTGGCTGATCTCCCTTGCTCACTGATCTCCCTTACTCACTGATGCTTCCAATTTGTGTTCAATCATTTTCTCTTTGATAGGCACCATGCTTACTCTTGCTCTGATGTTATTATTTTGAATTTTGTCTTTTCTTGCATATTGCGGTATACGAATGAAAATAATAGTTGCTGCTTCTTATAAATTCTAATCCCTTTCATGACAGTTGACAGATTTTGGGCTCTCCAAGGTTGGTCTTATTAACAGCACGGATGACTTGTCAACTTCATCATTTTCTACTGATGATCTTGTAGGAAATGATGAACCGAAAAAAGATCATTCTTCAAAAGTGGAACAACGTCAAAAGCAGTCAGTTGTTGGCACCCCAGATTATTTGGCACCTGAAATACTTCTCGGCATGGGACATGGTTTGCATTATCGGCTGATTAAGTTGTACATCTATTATAAATAAAATGTTTTGAATCAGTGATTTTCAATTTTTGCTTCTTTTGAATTAATGTTGTTTAATTTAAATTCTTGCAGGTGCAACTGCAGATTGGTGGTCTGTGGGAATTATACTTTATGAGCTCCTTGTGGGTATTCCACCATTTAATGCAGAACATCCACAGGTAGTTGTTTCTGATATAAAAACCGGTAATATTCTGAAAAGTTTAAAGAAAAATATGAGAGATGATAGTATTCTTTTCTATTTTATTTAGTACTAAACAATCGTATAACGGTGTTGTCCTGGGATATGAACAGTTACTCCTAGTTTTGATAAGGATGTGGACAAGTTTTTAAGGTAATTTACAAGGGCTACAGCAACTAGGTAATCTTCAATGTCTAGTCAAGTGTACAGATATGGTGTGGGAAATTTAATTGAAAAAATCAGAGTAGATATGTTGGGATAGAGAGATGACTTGGGTTTCACATTAAGGGATCTCAGGCATTGTGCCGAAATATAAATGAGGTGCTGGACCAAGAAAGTCCTTTAAGACATTATATTGACTATTCATGAAGAGAAATTAAAAACTGAAATAAATTAAAAAAAATTAGGGAAAAATTCTTCAAGACAATCTTTGAACATAGAGTTATTTAATTAAGATCCCTAAACTAAACTAGTCTGGGATAATGCTTATGCGGCTATCAAACTGATGGAGGAACCGTGTCAAGCATCTAGTAAAGCTTTAATGGATCAAAGTCACCAAAGTCATGGATTATCAGCTGCTTTTCTGGACCATGTATCGCTATTTCATCAGCATAATGACTGCATAAACATTTTGTTGGGTGAGACCCAAATTCAATATATTAGGACATAGAGGAACTAGATTGGTGGAAAATTTTATTGGGGATGAAATTGAGAGGCGTACACTTTGAAGAACCAAGCTGATAATATTGTAATCTTTCAAGGGTAAAACGTCTTACTCTTTTTTTCAAGTAAAAATTTTATTTTGTGTGTTACTCTTACGGATCACGGATATTAAAGCATAACTCAAATGAGAACCATATGGGAATAAGAACAACTTATTTTACTGGAAAAATATACTAAAGAGAGCAGTAAAGTGATGGACGATTAGCACTCAGACAGAAAGAAAAAGGGGAAAGGGAATAGGGAAAGAGGAGAACAGGAAAAATAAAAGAGAACTGAGAAGAATAGAGACACAGAAAGGAGTTTGAGAGAAGGACAATAGAGAGATGAGAGGAATTCTGAATAATGCGCACCTGTTGTTCGTTCACAGTTCTGAGAAATACAATTGAATAGGGGATATATTTATAGCCTTAGGCAAACGCCGACTACCTACTTTTTTATTTTTATTTTATATTTCTACAGCAGAAAGCCTGTCAATAATTTCAACAATTTGACTGCCCCAAAAAGAAGTTCAACCGTTTAGTAGGCTTCTGCATATTCTTGTACTAAGGTTTTCTTCCCCCACCAAATGTCAATCATCTTGTTTACAGCCACCTTTTAATCAGGGTAATGATTATTGTCCACCATAATTCACTTATGCTTGATGTTCTTTATGATAATTTGTGTTTTAATTTATTGGATCTTAAAGACTTTTTTTTAAAAAAAATTTTATTATTTGAACATATAGATGAATAGCTTAAAACTAATTCTTATTGATTCGGTACTGCAGGAAATTTTTGACAAAATAATTAATAGAGACATACAGTGGCCAAAGGTGCCCGAGGAGATGAGCTATGAAGCATATGATTTGATTGACAAGTAAGCATTCAAGAATTAGGCGTGCACAAATTTTCCTATTGTGTTATCGTGATCAGACCTCACTGATCTCTTTTATCATCTATCTTTTTCGTTTTTATAGTCTTTGCTTTGTTGTCTCGTATTGTCATTTAATGCAAATTCTGTTTTGTTTTTTCACATGTTCAGACTAGTGCTTTGCTTCCTTTGTATGGTTGCTTTATTGCTGCTACTTTTCTGAAGCTAAATTGCAGTTTTGCGATCATCTGCTTCCTGATATAATTTCACCTTCGCCCATGAATAAAATAAAAACGTTTAGTCATTGCTTCCTGAAAATCTTCAATTGGTTTTTCTCTGTGCAAGACTGGAGTAAAGGATGGGTGATTTGCGTGGTTCACTAGTCTTATAGTCTTTACCACCTTCCACCTCCTACTTCCCCTTCATTGTTTCTTCCCCTCATATCTTGTTTATAGTTGCTCATCCTAGCCTAACCTTTCCAAACTCCAGAAGGTAGTCCCTTCCTTTCCTACCTTATCCTTTTGAGCTTGTTCATTTAGATATCCCAGGTGTATGGATCTATGTTGTGTTTCTACTCATCTAGATTTCTAATAGTTTGTGTCTTTGTGATATGTTTTTTGGAACAGTTGTCATTTTTATTTTAGTTTTCTATAATATTTCTTTCAAGATTTATATCTATGTTTGATGTATTTTTATGTGTCTTTGTGGTGTTTGGGTTGTATTAGCTGAGAAGTAGGATTGTTCAAACCTGCTGAGTCAGCCTTAGTAATGAGTAGGACCGTATGCTGTCAGGATAGTGCAGAAGGCACCAACATGCAGCAGAGTAACAAGCTCTGGTTCTGCAGAGGTCCTCATGTCTATTAGCTATAATTTTAGAATTTGGAATCAGATTGGAAGTGACTACAATTTCGTTTTCTGGTTTCTGGCCTTCACATCACTGTCACTTTTATTGGTGACAATTCTAACTGCATTTGGCTATTTGTTGAAACTTTTTTTCAAGGTTTTTGTCTTTTTTCAGTCTTTTTCTGTTTAAAGCCATAAACAATTTGGCATCTTTATATCTAATGTGAACAATTTTAGAGAACAATTTTACTCTTCTCAAAAAATTCTTCACCCAACCACGATAAAATGAAGTTAAGAATAAGAGTTGCTAGTCGTGCCTTGTCTAATGTATCCCTGCAATATTTTTTTTAAGCGATGCTATACATACTGCATCTTGTTTTAATCAATCATGTGCCTCATCTGTATCACATAATCAAATTCCTAGTCCCCTTTTGTTTCCAAATGAGCCTCTTCATCTTCTTCTTCCTTTTTTTTTTTTTATTGGATATGTTTCGTTCATGCTCTAACCCTAGGCGACGATAAACTCCGTGTCAAGTCCATCAAATGTATCATCCTTGTGTATATTCACCTTCAAAAAGTTATTTATGCTACGCTTCAAACACGATGCTACTCTAACTCTAAGAATATGACATTCTTTGAGACATCTTTTTGCTTTTCTTCTGGAGTTGCTAATCATTTGTATGTCTGAAGTTCTCCCAATTCCCTATAGTGCTTCCCTAAAGTCACTCATCTTCGTTCCTTTCAGACCCATCACCATCAACATGCTCTGATCCTCCTGCAAACTCCATTGATTTCATGTTGACTCACCACCTATTCCAACAACATCTCCTTGCTTCACCTGGTAGTTCTACCATTACCATCTGAAAAGGTATTTGCTTGGCTTATAAGTTGTAACCCTATTATGCTGTTGTGTTTCCTTGGATTATGTATTTGTTCTCAACATTAAAGGAAAGTGGATTGCCTTAGAACATAAGGCAGTCATGAGGCAATGCACTTTCTTACGTCTCCTCTAGAAAGCACTTCTGTGCATGCAAAACATTGCTTTTTTTTTTTTTTGGGTACAATCATTAAGAAGCAAAACATTGCTTAAGTATGAATGATGTAAGACACACTCTCACACACTTGCACAGATCCGAACAGAGGAGAATATTGAGGAGGAACAGAACGGTGGGGCAAGACAGAGCTTAGGACTTGGAGTGGAAAAGAGCAAACTGAATTCTCATAGGGAGCAAATTCTCATTCATCCAAAGTCTCTCTTGCTAGTGAATCCTACCAGGCTATTTGTAGAAGATGCCTTAATCACGAAGGATTACAACTTGCTTTGCCTCTTGCTAGAAAAACTGAAAACAAAAAGCAATTTCATTTCTCTCTAGGGTCAGTTTTCCCATATTTTCTATCAATTTTCCCCTGCTTGATGGAACTTTCCTCCAGAGAGTGAAGGTATTGATATAACTCCAATGAAGCGCCATCTGGGGAATTTTTCCATGTAAAATCTAATCTGGGGAACGAGCAATCTGATCATACTGATTTGAAAAGCCTTTCCAATGGATAAGGTAGCTGTAGAGGTGATCCTTAAATGAAAAAACAATCCTGTAGTGAAGCAAGAGGGTGATGTGCAGTAGGACTGTATGACTCATGATTTTTGGCCACCGTTTTTAATTCCTGATTTAGTTCAAGACTCATGCCCTCGTACTTGATAGAAATTTCTTCTGACTCCATTTATTCTCTTCCTTCTTAACAACATCTATATCAGCTTCATGTACTGCTTCACCTCTTTCATATCTATGCTTCCACTTCCAATTACAAGACCATAAGTGCTGTTAGTATCCCTTTTTGGTACAACTGATATAGGTGAAGGCTTTTTGATGAGGGTACTTTTCTTTGGTGCATCTTTTTGTGATGGACCATATATTTGTAGGGACATATAATTTCTCGTTCCTGAGATTGACTGAGTGATCAAAATCATGGAAAGACTGAAACCTTTTTGGTTATTGAAGAACATCAATGAAACTCCATAGTAGCTGTTCCAATCTAATTTCTAACCACTGTTTCTGTAACCTTAACTCTTCCTTTTTGTCAAGAAGCAGTTCGGAGACGTGCAGTATATAAAGTACACTTCTAAGCAATTATCTGATCTATGTAGTGTATCCTGTCCATATACCTTATATTTCCTCTTGTTTAATATAAAACTCATTACCTTATGCAAATCAATCATGGATCTTCTCTATGTGGCAAACTGTACCAAATCAATCATATTTTCCCAATTGGAGAAAATCATAGAAAATCACTTGAAGTGATTTGGACATGTACTAAGAAGCAAGAACAAATCTATCGAAAGGGATCTTTTGGTAAATCATGTCTCTAAAGAGTTAGTTGTTGATAGGACGTAATGACATTCTATGATCCATGTAGCTAACCCAGTTGTTGCATGTATCTTGGATCTAGTTTGCATTCAGCTTCAGCTTCATGAGCATTGCTGAATTCAGAAAGTTGTGTGAACTTCTGCTATCTTTGAGTAGAGGTCTAATTGCTTTGTAGTTAAACAATTCACCTTCACATTGGAATACCCCTCTTCTCATGTACTGCTTTCTAGTATGCTATTATTGGTTGTACTCTGATAGCCAACATTAAGGGTCATTGTGGTATCGGCTGGTGAATACTTATTATATTTTAAACATTATGACCTATCTTGTTTTATTGAGTATGACCACAAGTGTGTTCTGTTTCAGATTACTCACTGAGAATCCAGTCCAAAGATTGGGAGCAACAGGAGCTGGTGAAGTAAGTTCATTTCCGACTAGAACAATATGTTTAGGGTTGCCAATTATCATTCATGACAGTTGGACTGCCCTAACCCAACATTTTTATGACGCACTCTTATCCAGTCGTCTCAATGAATTGATGAATGGAGTGGTTAATTACACAAATTTTCTAGTAGGGATTAACCCACTCCATATTGCCTCATTCGTTTTAATCAGACCATCTTTATGGCTATGAAATATAATGATACATTTATAACCCAAACAAATCTAATTTTTTATAATAAAAAATTGAAACTAAAATACATTAAATCTAAAAGAATAAATATGAATGGACTTCTTAGGAATTTTGTTGTAGTTATCAATTTCCCCCTTTATTTTTCCAAACTCAACAACTTTTCTTGAAAACAAATGGTAAATTACACAGACCTTCCCGAGTTTTGCTAAAAATCAAATGGCTCTATTATGTTTTGAAATATTACACAAATCTCTCTTGAAAACCAAGAGTAATTGAATAAACTTCCGTTATATTTGTTGAAATTACAGACTTATTCTGAGTTTTGTTAAGTTTACTTAGATTTCCCTTGTACTTTTGGGAAGTTTTGTGTATATACTTCTAAAAATATAAAGGAGGTCTATGCAAGAGGATGTTTTTGTAACTTTTGGTTTGTTTCAAAGGAGATTAGTCCAAGTCTTGGAAATAAGAAGAGATGTGTTATTTTAGCAAAATATAGAAGAGGTTTGTATTAGTTCAAGTGGGAAAAAAAAAATAAGAAAGAGGTCTATGTAATTTACTCAACATAAAACAAATTTATGAACAACTTGAGGTAAAAGATCATTTTTATTTAATTAATTTAATGATTCAAAAAATTAAAATAATGAGAAAACAGTTAAATTATAATGGAACGTTGCAATTAATGATTTAGCTTTTTGAATGGATAATAAATGGTTACAAACTTAGTTAAAACTTTATTAGAACGGAATCTAAAACCCCAAGCTTACAATTTGCTACCCATGGGTACATGCAAACTGTTCTATTGCTAAAAAATGTAACAACAATTACTTTTGTTGCAGGTTAAAAGTCACCCTTTCTTCAAGGATATTAATTGGGATACCCTAGCAAGACAGAAGGTCGTCATCATAATTTTAATTGCTACTAAATTTATATGTTTATGCAATATTTATCAGAAAAATTTTACTTAAGGATCCATATGAGTTGGTAATTTTTTAAAGAACCTTCGTAATTAAAATTCTTCTGGAGGATTATGCTACCGGTGGAGCTTTTCAAAATTACCACTGATGTTATCTATAGTTAAAAATCCAAAACATCTTTGTGTGAGGTTGTAAACCTGGAAAGCACCATCAGAAATAATTAAAAACATTAGTGGTGGCTTTGAGTAGTTCAGAGGATTTTAGTTTTCAAAGGCCTTTAGTGTAATTATTATCTGATGAATCCATTGGTAGATTTTACCTATATTTATGAATTATGACTGCTGAAATCTATCCCAATTGGTCACAGGCTGCGTTCATACCTTCAGCTGAAAATCATGACACGAGTTATTTCATGAGCCGCTACATATGGAACCCAGAGGATGAACATCTTACTGGAGGTAGCGATTTTGATGACCTGACCGATTCTTGCTTCAGTGGTTCAGGCAGCGACTTTGTAGATGAAGATGTAAGATCACTTTCTTTTTCCTATAGCCCTAATCAATTGTTGTTCTGGCTAGATTCCAAGTTCTTAATACTTCCATGTCAACATATATTTACTCAGCAGACATGACACGATTTCTTGATGTTATATTATGTGTTTCCATCTGTCTGTAGATGAAGTACGAAGCTTCTGTCTCATTGCATGTTAAACTTAATTTACATGAAATAGATTGGTTATTTTTGGAAGGAACGTATCTTATTGTTCAGTTTTGGAGAATGTAAAAATTAGTTAAGATAAAACATTGGAGTTTGCAAGTTTGTTCAAAGATCATCATTCAAGGTGTTGGTTTTGTTTAACAACTGAACGGTGCAGTTTGCCCTGCCAAGTCGGGCTAGTCTGGGATGATTTTTTTTTTTTTTTTAAAACATTTAACTGAATATTTGTTGTTGCAACACCCTTTTCTTATTTTACAATATGCTTGCTGACCAGGGGGACGAATGTGGTAGCTTAGCAGATTTTAGCGGACCACCTACTGAAGTGCAGTACTCATTTAGTAATTTCTCCTTTAAGGTAAGACTTGCTTGACATTGGTGTTCTCTAGGTCATTAGGATCTATGGTCTCGAGTTATATGGAAATCCGATATTTAATATGTAAATATTTACATTTATTAGAGATTTGATGGGATTCTATTTGTATTCCTTGCATCTCTGTGTCCTTATTTTTTCGGCTCAGATTGATTAGCCTCTGCTGTATATATCCCCTCGTTTGAAATCAATGAAATACAGAAGAATATTTTTGACCCTCTCTCTGCAAGTTCACATGCACTTAATTTCAACTATTATGAACTGTTTGCTTAATTATCTAAAAACAGACCCTTCTGTTCTTTTTCTTTTACCCTGTTATTTACTCCCTTCAATTTTTTTGTTTTTAATCCTTACTTGAAGGAAAGATCATGTTTGAATTCAAGATTTCTTCCAACTGTTTGCATACTTCTACTACTAAGCCACACCTGAAACCTTGAATTTGTTATACTCAATGTGTTGCTGCTGAAAATGTTATTCTTTGCAAGTCCTCACTTAATTGTTTAAACATTTAACAGTACTGATTCTTTTTTCTTTGGTTGTCATGATAAATGAAGATGATGTTTACTTTTCTGTGCGGATTAGATCGAAGAATTTCTTTTCCTGTTTTGATCTATGTTCTATTTACAGAACTTGTCTCAGTTAGCATCTATCAATTATGATTTGGTGATCAAGAACGCCAAAGAATCATCCGATGACTCCAAGCCATCTGCTCCGTGACAAATCTGGAGGGTTGTAAGTTCCACCTTGCAACTTTCTGATTTTTAGAACGGACTTCAATCAGGTGATTCCTCAGAGAAAAAAGATGAAACGTTCTTTGAAATCACATACTAGGAGTGTACACTGGTCCGAACCACGTTCCAATTTCTTGGTGTTACTCCCTGAATATATGGGTCTCATTTCAAAGGCAATGTGACTGGTGTGGCTCAAGAATTTACATTTCTTGTTTGCTGCCACTCTTCGCTTCAGTATAGGGATTAGAGATTGAAAGTTGAAACTGCGAGCAAATCCTTTCTTTCACACACGCACATAAATTAGATGTTCTTCTCTTAGCAACCTGGGGTTTAACAATTTCTTTTGATAATACTTCGGAAATAAAACATTGAATGTATTAGGTCAGTATAAATGAGTGTGTACATGTAGATCATTCAAACAAGAAAATAATTATTCTTTGAGCAGTTCACTATAAAAATAAATAGAATTCAGGTTTCTTTTTTTTTTTTTTTTTTGCCAACAATTCAGGTTTCTTTTTAAGCATTATGCAGATGCACTAATATTATACTTTTCTGAGTTTGATGACATTGCATTTTAGCATTGAAAAGTGTTAGATAACTTGAAATTGAGTGACAAATATTATACTTTTAAGTTCAAGCTGTTTGATACTTTTTTTCCTTGGAGGAGGAATTTTTTTCCCTGTTGTGTGTGAATTTTTGAGGTATTAGAAAATATTATGCCTCCCAAATAAAGGGTATGTATACTTTTAAGCTTCCAATTTCGCACTGTTTAGAAGGGAAATAGTAGGCTTGTCATTTAGACTGAAATTTAGCTTCAGGTTATGATTGTTTGTTTTGCTTCCGAACACTATATTTTACAAGTGAAATTCTCAAAAGTTAATTCCCAACCTCCCAAAAAAAAAAAAAAAAGGAAGATAAAGTTAGTTTTTGAAATTATAGACTGCGTTGTGTTAGGAATGATGTCATCTTTTGCTAATGAGAGGTGTAGTTGATAATAATATGACTCGTACCTTCAAGAATATGTATCAGAATCCCATTGTAAATATAAAGATTTTGTCATTTATAAACATTTTTGTAAACACTTTCGAATTTTACAGTCTATCCTAATTCTAAAGAACATTTTAAACTCACATAAAGTTTAGTGGTTAAGAAACCAGACGTCACCCAACACCAGCAAATGAATGAGAGCTTGTGTGTCTTACTAAAACCTTGACAATAGATATGCAAATTTTTTAAGGGGAAAGAAAAAAGAAATAAATTGCCCTGTTAATAGATATTAAATGTTATTTTTATTACTTCCAACACTGTAATTAAAAAGTTGAATTATAAAGTGGATCTAATATTAAGAAACAAAACTATTTATAAGAAGAGCCCATCTAATTTATTGCCAGTGGACATGAAAATCTAACCTCGGTCTCTTTCTTATGCTATTTTTACATTAACCCTTAGTAAGTAAATATATTGCTTATGTTGTGCGCCTTCTTGGTATGAACTAAACTTAGTTTTCAGAAATACAACTCTCCACTCTTGAACCGTGTTCAATCACATTTTCCCATAATTTAATGGCATAACTTATAAACTCAATCCATCTATGACTTGCACAATTTTGAATATCTTTTTCATTCATATAAACAAGGATTAAAGTATTTTTCTTCTAATTGTCAAGCATTTTCTTACAGTGTAAGATCTCATTAATGATACTATCAGGTCCAACAACTTTATTAATTTTCAATTTTTAAGAACTGCCTTGAACAACAAATTGTACTCATCACCTTCTCCAATGATCGAATCCTCCAACTCACAAGTCAATCATCCACTCCCATAATTTTTTTTTTTTTTGGCCAGCACTCCCATAATTGAATAACTTATAAAAATAGGCTTCCCGTTTATCATTAATATCTCCCTCGATAGTCGGTAACCAAAATTTTGTCTTCTTCGTGCTTTATATATCTCACTGGATCCAAGTCTCTTGATTTTCTCTCTTTATTCTTTGTACTCCTACAAATTTTACGTTTCCTAACCTTAGTACTTAACTTCTTATAAAATTTCTTAACTTTAGAACAAAAGCTTTACTCACTGTTTTCTTAGTCTTTTTTTAGTCAAGCAATATCTTTCTCAATTTTTAGCATTATGACACAAGTACACAGTATACAGCTTTAAAACAATATCTTTTATTTTTTACTTTCTCTTACATTCTCACTCAACCACTAAATCTCCTTATATTATTGACCAAGACCTCTTGATTCTCCTAAAATTGCTTTAGGAACCTTCTAAGCCTTCTTAATCATTTCCTTCTTCATGAAGCTAGTATTTACTTGTAACTACCCCTTCTTGTAAAAGAGTCTTGATAATCCCGCTTCTCCCTCTTTAACTAACACCGCCTGACCTTTTTAAAAATTGTCAAGAATTATATTTTATATATTTCATACACACATCAATTACAAATACCCTATGAAATTTTCAACATTACAACACCATAATACTCCCAAATCCCTTCTTCTAAATGGCTTCTCTCGACAATTCCCGCTTCCTCTTTAACTACCACCACCTAGTTTTAGAACTTGTTGCCGCCTTTATTTTATGCATTTGACATGCACATCAAGAACCAAGACTTTATGATGTGCTATCACACCATCCATAAAATCACTTTGCAATTAGTATATACATATAATAGCTGGCAAAATACATGCATATATATAATAATAACAACAACAACAATGTAATATACTCCTCCGGTCCTTAATATAGGACCCAATTCTTGAGTTAGTTTTGGTCCTAAATATAAGACCCATTTCTCATATTTATCAATTTTCTCTAAATTATCCCTATGGATACTCCCTCAACCATAATCAAGTAGAAGAGAGAGATGGGGTATTAAGAAAGATGATTATGGTGTTTTAGGAAAAATGCGTCACTTTTCTTAAAATTAACTAACTTACCTAACTTTCTTAATCTAATCAAATTAGTTAAATGGGTCTTATATTAAGGACCGGAGGAGTATGAAAATTTCAATAAACTAACACTAGATGACTGCACATGGATTCTCAACTGGCCTCTTTGAGAGGGTCAATCTGTTTGACGATTTTTTTTAGTTGTTCAGCATTTAGTTCATTGAACCCAAAACCAGTCTAATTTTTTAAAAATCGTTAAGAATTTTGGTTTAATTTTAGGTTATGCGTCAATAGCGGTTCAACTCCAATTAAACTCAGTTCAAACATAAGAAAATTTTCAAATCCAAATCAACCAACTAATGAGTTCCAGTTTCTAACAAACAACTCAACTGTTTAGAGTACCCAATAAAACTCGCTTTTTAAAATATTAGTATCGATATCAAATACAATATCAAAATAATTAATCTTCATAAAGTCATATATTTATATATCGATCATATCTTTGATAAATTATAGAACAGTTTTTTTCCATTAACAAATTTTAAATTTTAAATTACTTCAAAATTACTTTTTTTGAAAAGAAAAGAAAAGCAGGGACTACTAAACAACAAGCCAAATAAATAAATAGCTGATATAATCTTTGGAACCCTCAAGTTTACATGAATCTTGGTTTTAGTCCTTTAAATTTCAAATCATGGGTTTTGGTCCATATAAGAGTAAATTGACCATATTTTTACTAAATTATACGGATCAATGTTTTAAACAGAAATAAACTTGAAGGACCAATATCTATGGTTTGAAATTTGGAGAATTCAAAATCAAAATGAGAGCAAACTTGAGATCAAAAATTGTATTAACCTATAAATAAATAAAGAAGGAAAAATTGCACGCAGGTCTCACGTAACCTAATTTATTAATCGAAGGTCCCTTGAAATGTCAAAATAAATAGGAAGTCCTATGAGATATGAGAATAATATATTCTAAATAAAAAATTATATCATTGTCCCTATCCCGATTGACAAGCTCGTGGTTATGGATTAACAAGTCAATATGAAGCTATTAACAAGTTAAAGATATCAGTTGACAACTAAATTAATTGAATAATACAACTTTTATATAAGATCAATTAGTACAAAAGAGCATTATATAACAAGCTTTTAAGCTGAAATTAGTGTGACCAAAGCATAAATAGTAATATTAGATGAAATGATGGGTTTATATCATAATTTTGCCATGAACAGCCATTAACAAGTTTATGGGTACAAATTAACAAGTCGAAGAGAAGCTATTAATAAGTCAGGGAGTGTGAGTTCACAACTAAATTTATGGGATAATATAATCTCCATATAAGATCAAATTATAACAAAAGAATATAAGAATTTTTCATAATTTTGTCTTATATGGAAGTTATATTATCCAATAAATTTAGTTATGAACTCACACTTCCTAACTTGTCAATAGCTCCCTATTGACTTGTTAATCTGTACCTGTAAACTTGTTAATGGCTGTCCACAACAAAATTATGATATAAACCCATCATTTCATCTAATATTAGTATGTATACTTTGGTCATACATGATTTTAACTTAAAAGTTGTTATATAATACTCTTTTATAATAATTTAATCTTATGTAAATGTTATATTATTCAATTAATTTAGTTGTCAACTAATACTCTGGACTTGTCAATAGCTTCTCATAAACTTACTAATCTACAACCATGAGCCTGTCAATTGGGATAGGGACAATAACATAATTTTTTATTTAGAATATCTTATTCTCAAGAAGAGTAGAGAAAACAGGCCGAGCCCATTTAGGCCCTAAAATTGTAAGGGCCGAGCTTAAAATTTTCCCCTTTAAATGAAAAATGGGCTTAAAAGGGCTGGTCTTGTAGAGCTGAGGGCTTAAATGAGCTAACTCTACTCGTTTAGGCCTTTTTATACTTTTTTTAATTTTTTATGTAATTCTAATATTATTAATTCTTTGACATTATTAATGATATTTCAAATATTTACTTATTATTATCATTTTAAAATTAAATTTTACAGAATGATTTGATTTATTTGGTTTTAGACAATAATTTGTCCAATTAAATTTTTAGAAATGGGTTGATTTAAACTTTAATAATGATTTGATTTATATTATACATGTTGATATTTTTAAACTATATATATTTGATAAGAAAGTACTTTTATACTTATATAACTTGTGGTTCTATAATTTGAATATGAAATCTATAAATTTCCACAACAATGTTTTTGACACTAAAGTAAAATAATAGTTCGACTGCAAAATTTAAAAGCGAAATTTCTATAAAGAAGAAAATTTGATATTTTTGTTACGAAAGAAGAACAATTGATTATAATAATGATGAAGTTTCAAAAAATTAATAATAGTGTTTGTCTATTGCACATTTACACTATTAATAAAATTTTTGAATGTTGTTGTCTTGTTGATGAATGTTTTAGATGTTTTTGAATGTTAATAGATATTTAGATATGATGATTTTTTTTATTTATGACTTAATTTTATTTATATTGATGTCTTTTATTAATAATTTCATCCGTTTGTTTTTATTTTTTTATAAAAAAATGTGATAAATATGAAAAATAAAATTTTTTTCTTAATCAGGTCGAAATCCGGCGAGTTGGCCCTGAGTTTGTCAGCTTAAGGATCACGTCTAGCAAATTGAGATATTTTTAAAATTTTGACCGCCAGTCCTTTTAAACCCGTCAGGGCCGGCCTGTAGTTAGGTCTCATGGGAGCTCTTATTTATTTTGAGATTTGGAATCTTAATTTAATAAATTGTGTTACTCCTCCGGTCCTTAATATAGGACCCAATTATTGAGTTAGTTTTGGTCCTAAATATAAGACTTATTTCTCATATTTATTAATTTTCTCTAAATTACCCCTATGGATACTCCCTCAACTATAATCAAGTAGAAGAGAGAGGGGGTATTAATAAAGATGATTATGGTATTTTAGGAAAAACGTGTCATATTTATTATAATTAACTAACTTATCTAACTTCCTTAATCTAACCAAATTAGTTAAATGGGTCTTATATTAAGCACAGGAGGAGTATTTGGGATCTGTGTGTAATTTTCCCAATAAATAATAAATAAATGAGACAGATTGCGGTACCTCCGCTCCGACGAAGATGGAAGTAGCGGCAAGAGAACCCCACGTGACCAATTGACCATGCCACCACCATCGCCCCCAGCCAGCGAAAGCGCCATTTGCTCCCTTCCCGCCGCTCTAGCTTTGGACAGCACGCTTCTTGTTCAACGCAATGTCTCAAGTAATAATCAAACTGCAATATAGATCGTAAACTCAGAAAGAAGCTCACCAATACCTGCAAAAAATGTGGAGGCGTGCGACTTCGTTTTCTCCTTTGATTTCTTCATTCAAATCGTCCTTTTTCATTCAGGTAATAGCATCTTTCGGTCTGCAAATATGCTTAGTTTGTTGTTTGTTTATTGTTCACTTTGTTTTGTGCCTTTGATTTACGAGCGAAACGACCCACATCCCGCGTTGTACCATGTTTGGATTTTTGAATACCCATTCAGCAAAGGTGTTAAAGTCAAGGAAATTTATTTTTTGTCCGTGATTATATGTATTTCTTTTATTTTTGGTTGGCTTAGTTTTTAAGTAATCTCATGAGTCTGGCTTTGTGATGGTCCTAAAAGCTGAAAGGTTTGGTAAATCTTGTTCCCTCATCGCCTTTTGAAGTTTTACAAGCATTTCTGTTATCTCAGCTCATCTGACGGATGTCCAGTTGTTGACCTACTTTAGACTTTTCTTTTGTATGTTGGCTTCAGGAAGCTTCTAAACACAAGATGTGGGAAATGCTTACTACAGGGATACCTTGCCAGGTACTATGCACTTCCTAATTTCTTAAATTTTATGAACATATTGCGCTAATATGCTGATATCTCATGTGATGGCAGGCCAATATTCATTATGTACTTTCCTAGTAGGTAGGAATTTAACTTTGTACATAAAACTGTTGTGACTAAATTGGGGAGTTGTCAAAGTGTTCCTTGCCAGTGGTTGACCCCATTTGTCTAACTTTGCATAAGAAACGTGTTCATGTTCGGATTGGAAATCATCAAATCTATGGTGCTTTTTGTAGAATGATGGTGAGCTCGTATATGATTTATGCTTGAACTTTCAGGCTTGTGATTGTCCAAAATAAGCAGTGATGGCCTTATCACATTTCTGCTTCCCAATTTTGTAGTCTGGATGACTGTTGGATGTTTAAACGAATAACCTGTTTGTATGACCATGCGAACCTGATTTTTATCATGCTATTGTTATCAGATATTTTGCTTGAAATATTATAACTTCTTTTTAGTAGAATGTTGAGCACGTCAAAATTGGATGTTTATTGCTACATTCATTATTTGCTATGTGCTAGAAGTTTGTTGTTTTATTTAAAACATATCTTATTCTCTTGGTGTGTTTCGAAATTCTATAGTCAGGGAATTAGCAGATTATTAATGCCATATTTTAGATATGATACTTCAATAATCTCCTTACTTCACTGTTTCGGTCCATACTGCAGGAAAAAGGTAATATTTGCCCCACGCATAGAGCTCCATTTATAACGTTTGTTTTAGGTAACAATTCTGCTCTATGGAATAATTTAATAAGGTGTTCATATCATATGCAGTTTTATCGAGATTTGGGTCATAGATTGCTGAAGTGCATGACTGTGGAAAATGTGCTCTGAAAAAAGAAATAGTATTCATGTGCTAACAATGACTGCCGAATGTTAATCATGTCTTGTCTGCATATATTAATAGTGTGGAAGCTTCGGCAAGATTGATTGAAGCACTAGGTTGTTAATTTAGAAATTATACAAATTAATCACTTTCTGTTAAGTAATGAAAATTAGAACATAAAATTTTAGTTATAATTGGTTGTGTCTTTCATATAGAAATTCAGACATTACTTATCAATAACCAGTCTTAAGTTGCCAGAAAAAAGCTTACTCAGTGTTTCATAAAAGGATGAGTCAATTGGAAAAAGTAGAATAATGATAAATGTCCTTCTTACCTGGCCATATTTTCGTTCCAGCAAGGAACTTAATTATATAACTTTTTAACCCCCCATCTGAGCATGAGTTCATACGGAATGATTTGAATATTTAATAGAATATAACACGTCAGCTTAGGTGTGACAATGTCAGCTTTCATGGCAGATTTAATTTGAATGAGACGCTGGAAAGGAAACTGTACTTTATTAACCAAAAATGAAAAAGAAATTAGCATTTAAAACTGTCTGATTTTGCACCATGGAACATCGCATGTTCCATGAAAAGAGATAGTAGAAATCTTTGAGAAATACTGGGTCAATTTATATGATGATTTTTTCCCTAGTTCCAACATAATTTCAATGTATATTAGTTGCTTTAGAAAACAGTTATCTCAGTAAGTGAGAAATGGGAGGCAGGGGATGAACACAAAACCTTGGAAGTGCTTTCTACATGTCACTCATTAGCATTATGAACTCCTAGTATGTTTGAGTGGTTCTTCCTACGAGTGCCGCTGGTTTTGCTCTTTGAAACGCTAATGCTTTTATAGGAAGTTTATTAATAGATATTGAGTAACCACAAGTTTATGGTTATCTTTTGTTCAAAAAAAAAAAACGAAAAGAAAAAGGTTGTATATGTTAAAGTATTACTTTTAGAAAAATTCTGAACCCAGGCTTATTTGTTTGCTTTCGTACGTGATAAAATTTGTTCCTTATATTCTCAGGGGGGCCTGGCAGTGGAAAAGGCACTCAGTGTGCAAAAATTGTTGATACCTTTGGATTCAAACATCTGAGTGCTGGAGATCTCCTGAGAAAGGAGATAGCTTCTGACAGCGAATATGGGTGATGACGTCTTATCCTGTTTTGCATTTTGTTTCTTCAGGGCACTACAAGTTTCTAATAATGGTAATTAAACAACAGTTCAATGATTCTAAACACAATCAGAGAAGGAAAAATTGTTCCTTCAGAGGTGACTGTCAAATTGCTTAGGAGAGAGATGGAATTAAGTGACAATCGTAAATTTCTTATTGATGGTTTCCCAAGAAGCGAGGAGAACCGCAGAGCTTTTGAAGAAATTGTGAGTTTAGCTCTTGATCTTGCATTCATGGATTTGTAGAAATTCACAACCTGTCATGGAGCTCTTGGTATTGCTCGATTGATATTTTATCATATCAAGTTACCTCCGCCTTGTGATCGTTCTTCCATACACACGCATTTGACAAGGAATTGCTGCATTTATGTATATAACTAATCTGATTGATGACAACGTCAATGGACGAATACAGAAATATCATTTTCTTACCAGAAAATTCTTGAAACAGTTTCAGAAGAATGATTAATTCCATTTTATTCACTTTTTTATGCTCAGGGAAATTAATTAGATAGTTAGAATTTGATAATTAATGATAGATATTGATATCCTATCCCAATCTCTTTGAAAAATTGAGGAATTACTGCATGTCATATATGTATGACTTAGGAAATTGATGACAACGCCTGCATGACAAGGACAGAAATATTATTTTCATCCCAGAAATTTCTTGAAGCTATATATTTTAATCACGTGTTTTGTTCTGGGAAATTAAGTATATTGTTCAATTTGTAGATGGGAGCTGAACCAGACATAGTGTTATTCTTTAACTGCCCTGAAGAAGAGATGGTGAAAAGAGTGTTAAGTCGTAATCAGGTTCCTATCCAATTGTTTTGTTTTGAATTGCAACAAATAATTAGAAACTAGTACTACTGATATATAGTGTTTTTATTCTTGTAGGGTCGAATTGATGACAACATAGATACAGTCAGAAAACGTCTAAAAGTATTTGAGGAATTAAATCTTCCAGTAATAGAGCACTATGCAAAGAGAGGGAAACTTCACAAGGTAATGCAGTTTTTACATGTAATCTGATCTAGAATAGTTTGTCTCGCTAACAGTTAAGGATCTATTATTTATGTGTTCCTGGAACAACGCTGCACTGAGGTTCCTGTTAGATTACTCCAATGAAGATTCTTATATGATTCTCACAAGCTACAGCTTTAGTTTCGATTTAAAGAAGGGTGAGAATTCGTCTGCATGTACACTCACAGCAAAGAACTGCAATGGTTATTTTGTGTAGGCATTTCTATATGATTCAATTTTATGTAAAAACTGTTAGTTATGTTAACACAAGCTAATTTCTGCAGATCAGTGCAGTGGGAACAGTAGATGAGATATTTGACCAAGTTCGGCCAGTTTTTGCTGCATGTGAGGTATATTTTATATCATCTCATATTTGATGTATTAAGATGGTCCTTGTGTTTCCAGTTGCCTCCTATTATACTTTAATTTGTGAGCATGCCATGTTTTCTTAACCAGCTTTTTATTTGCATGGGTGGACTGGAAGAGAGAAAAGGGAAACAAATTTTCCTAGGTTTTTTGTCTCCCCTTATTTATGTGTACGCGCGCATGTTTGTGTGTGTGTGGTGAACTATGGAAGTCAAAAGGCCTTCAAAGAAGGTTCGGCTGAAGCTATACACAGCATATCAAATTCCCACTATATCAGAATTCAACAAAGGGAACATGCTATTTTGCTATTTTTACTTATGATTTGGCCAAGATCACGAGTGAAACCTAAATTCAGCAAGAAGATAAAGCACACGTTTTAGTTTGTTTACATCAATGTTGAATTATGACTTGCCAATCTCTGCTTACCACTAGCCTTGGACTCTCAAAAATACCGTGGAGGTCTGTATTATGATTACACTAAAGGTGAGACCTTTCATAATGAGCTTGAAATCATTTTCAAGAATAATCGTTCTGAATCTTTTAGACTAACCATTTTAAGCTTTTCAAGTGCTCCCCAGCATTTGCCTTCAAGGACCGAGCAAGTCTCCAGTCCTAGAAAAGCCATGTTACGCCTCCCCCTTGATTCAACCGCAAGGCAGTTTTATTCATTAAAGTTTAACCCTGCCAGTTATAGGCTTTTGCAAATTAGCATGAGTCTCTGCCTAAAGCTGCCCTTAATAACTGCCAAGTGCCAAGACATAAGTAGTAGGATTAGTCGCTGATTGTGTGCATATTGTTGTTTGATAATGTTGATTATTACTTGCATTATACTCTGCAGCGGAAGCTAAATGAAAGCTGACTATGAGTTGAGACTTGAGAGCACTGAAAGGCAGGGAAAACTTCTTGTTGACCTCGGTGTGCTTCTTTGACATTGGTGATTTTCTGAATGCCGTTCCCAGCCAAAGATCTCTCTGGAAATTTGGCAGCTTACCAATACTCATACCATTGAGTCTCGTACATCGAAGATATACTGGCATATGCATTACTGAATGCATAGAATGATGTTTCTTTTCCCTTGTATTCTTCATAGGGCTAGATACCTCATGTAACATGGGAAATGAAATGCAGGTATAACTGAACTGTCTGGAACAAGTGAGAAACTAGTTAAATAAAATGGGAGAGGTGAGGTTTTTGTTTTCCTCTCCAGCATGATCCTATAGTAATTGGCAGAAATTTTGCAATTTTGTTTTTCAGAATCATATTTGGTATTGGACCACATTTTGGCACTCTGTGGGATACTGTTAGTCGACAGTTAGTGCTGGCTAATAGACCCCCATTTTTTAACCGAGTATTTAGCTAGCAAATCAAAATAGACATACGTATAACATTTGGTAACATTGCTAGTTAACTATTAATGCGGGTTGATACCGCTTTTTTTTTTTTTTTTTTTCCGCTGATGAATGCCTAGTTGGAAAGCCATGTGTCACCATAAACATGATGCTACATGCTTCAATAAAAAGAAAATATGCCTACCAATTGTTCACCATTATTAAATTCTAGGGTGCCATTTTCTCTTCTATAAATTTTTGAGGGTCCTTTTGCTTTTTAGGAGTTAATGGTCAACTTAACCATCCGCTAGTTAGAAAGTGATATTGCTACATTTTTAACATTTGAAAGACAGCATTGCTCTAACAAATAGTTAAGGATATCAAGCGCTGCTCGCAAAATAGTTGAAGAGTATATATGCCCTTTAACCATTTATTTTAGGGAAAACCATATTGAAAGTACTTATACTTTCTTTCAATTTTTAATTTGGTACCTATGTGTTTTTTCCCTTTAATTAAACATTTAATTTTATCTTTTAGCAACATTAGCTCTTATAACTCTGTTTTATTGATATTTTTAGTCTCTACATAAGGATTAATGATGTTAATAGAGGAAAAATAAAAATTTAGTTAAAAACAAAAAACACATAGGTACCAAATTGAAAATTGAAAAAAAGTATAGGTATCTCCAATATGGTTTTCTCTTTATTTTATACATTATTTATAACATAGCCTACTTTTTTTTTTTTTAAACTTTCCTTGGCTTAATCAATAGGGAAAATTGAAGAGAAGGACCTAAAAAAACTAATATTGAAAAGGATCATAAAAATTGTATTTAGAGGGACCAAATATCAAAATATAAACTTATAAATACTAAAATATCCCTAGCTAAATTCCTCAATTTTCTCTAATCGCATCTTACATATACTCAATGTTTGGGGGATCAACTACTATAATATACATCATATTTCATATTTTAATGATATTAGATTAAAAGTAAAAATTTATTGCTTTTAAGTAAATCAATAAATAAGTAGAAAATTGAGCTCCACAGGTTGGTTTTATATTTCACCAAAAAAAAAAAAAACAGTTCCATGTCATTTTTGAGGAGACGTAGGGTGAAATCCAAATAACATAAAAGTCGAATTAATCAACGATACTCATAAAATTTTTTATGTTTTTAATTTCTTTCTCCGTAATTATTTTTCATAATTTGTTATTTTATTTGATATGTCAGTTAAAGTGAATCATAATTAAAATAAAAGTTATTAAAATTAAGAGAATGGAAAATTTTAGATATAAAAATAAATTTGAATAATATTATATATCTAAATATTTATAACTTTAAGAAATTGAAATTAATAACAACTTAAGAAAAATATTTATAAATTTTTTAATTATTTTAAGGGAAAATGACTACAAAATATCATATGAAAATAAAAAAGACAAAACAGGCATCCAAATAAGCAAAATGACTAAATGGACATAAGGTACCAATCTGGAATTTTCACTTTTGGCGTAAAGATTGAAATACCCTGATAAGTGAGGGAAAAAGAAGCTGAAGGTGAAAAGATAGTAAACAGAGGAAGACATTGATGAAACCTGTGAAGACGGAAAGAGGAATGTTAGAGCAACTTGGAGCAACATATTTAACCTGAAAAAAGGTAAGTTTAAGTCGGTAGTCTTTGGAAATGGTATTATCTTACTCTTCCGCATCACCGTTCTGTTGACATTGCTGATTTAGTAGATTTTGGTTGTGGGTAAGAGGGCTTGTAGTAAGAGAGGGAGTGAACATATGGTATTATATAAGTGAGTAGAAGTTGATGGTGGGGTTGGGTTGTTCATTTTTGTGGCTACTTCATGGCAAAATGGGGACGGGTTTGTTGGAGATGAGGGTTTATATTCAGTATTTGGAATGACGTAGCGGAAGTCAGAAAAAGTGGCAAGCAATTACGAAGCCATGAAGTTTGCGTCCAAGTGATTAGTGTTGTTAAAATCAATAATGGAATTGTGAAATCCTATAATAAAGTTACAAATAGAAGAAAAGTTTGTGTGTATGTGTGTGTTTTGGTTGTCATGCATGTTGATGGCAATTGATTGGTGGTGAACTTAATTTTTTTTTATTTATTGTTGTTTGTTGCAGGTTAGCAAGTTGTGATGTCTTCTAACATTGGATCAACATCTTTAAAAAGACTTGCTTGTTATTTTCATATAAGTAGGAAGTTTGTAAAAAATGGCAATGGTGAAGTTAAATACTGTGGTGGGATTATTAGAGTAAGAGTAATAAATGAGGGTGCAAGACTTGAAGATTTCAAGGCAATGACAGGAGAATGGTTCAGCATAGATTGTCCTAGTCGTGATAGTAAATACACTTTGAGTTTTGATGACAAGATATTAGTAGATACTCCTCCAGTCTTTCATATAAGACATATTTAACTAATTTGATTAGATTAAGGAAGTTAGGTAAGTTAGTTAATTATAAGAAATATAACATGTTTTTCCTAAAACACTATAATCATCTTATTTAATATCCTCCCTCCCTTTTCTACTTGATTATGGTTGAGGAAGTATCCATATGGGTAATTAGAAAAATTTGATAAATATTAAAAATAGGTCTTATATTTAGGACCAAAATTAACTCAACGATTAGGTTCTATATTAAGGACCAAAGGAGTATTATAAATGATGGTAAAGTTGATAATCTATTTGAACATAATGACCATAATGCACATGTTTATATAGCATATAAAGGTAATGACAATGTGAAGGAAAAAATAGGTGATCTAAAAATGTAAGTGACAATTTTTTTATTACGAAAGTTGATAATTATTATAATATTATAGTAAATTTGTTAATGACATTGGTAATTATACATGCAGGATCTAAAAAATGTTGGGACTATCACATCAGAATGATGAACCTACATTAGAGGAAAATGCTTCAGAAAATACAAGTTATGGAGACAATGAAAGACCTAGTGTAAACCTACCATATGGAGTAGTGAGTGCGCCAACACCTTTGTCGGGGATGAATTCTTTGAAATGGAAGAGTGTTGTTAGGACGGAACCAGACCTTTGCACATGCAGAAGATTTCAAGAAGAAAGTACATAAGTTCAATATTGCAAACAAGTTTGAGTACAAGTATGTGAAAAATTGTAAGGTAAATATGTATGTGAAATGTAAGGTTGAAGGTTGTCCATGGAGGATAAGTGCAAGAGTAGGTAGAAAGAGTACTCCCTTTTTATGTGTGTCGAAATTCATAAATGAGTATGTTCATAATGCTCAAGACAATCTTCACGTGACATATGGTGGTTCAGCTAACTTGACATTATCAATCATAATTGATGAGGTAAATGATCACATAGACAGCCATCCAAGTGATATAAGGAAGAGTTTAGAAAAAGATTATGGCGTGAAGTTGACAAAACTGTGGCCAAATGGGTGGCTAGTACTAATAACACATTTGAGCGTGTATTCATAGCATATTGGTGTTGTATAGAAGTCTCTATAGTTGGTGCTCGACCTGTACTGTATATTGATGGAAGTCATTTAAGTGGATTGTTTAAGGGGATGTTATTGTCAACCTCTGCTTATGATGCTGACAATGAATTGTTACCTTTTGTGATTGTGATTGTAAAGGGAGAGACACTTAAAGATTGTGCATGGTTCTTATATATGATTAAGAAGATAGTTTAGTCGATGAAATTGACAATTGTGTCATATAGAAACAATGCAATTATAGGTGCTGTGCAAGCAATATTTGGCGGTGAGAGGCATGCATGTTGTTACAAACATGTTAAGAAAAACTTTAGTGTACAAATGATTAAATTAAATAGAGAAAAGAGGAAGACTAGTGGGAAAGCAAGGGAGGAGGGTCTACAATACCTAGATGCTATTGCATATGCAAGGCTTGACACTGACTTTGATGGTGTAATAGATAACATGAGAAAGTTCAATCTACAATTATTTGAGTGGCTTCTTAATCATGGTGATATGGAAAGGTGAGCCTTAAGTAAATTCTCATTTAAACGATGAGATAATATCATAACAAACCTTGGTGAGTCATTCAATGCTTGGATATTGAAGGATAGGCAATATAATGTTGCCCAACTTATACATGAGCATCGTGAGAAAGTGGCAAAGAAGATGTATACAATAAGCATAGCAATGAGTAATTGGAAAAATAGTGTAGGCCCAAACATAGATGCAAAATTAGTGGATCATGTCACTAGATCAGTACCCATGTTGAGTGTACCTTATGGAGGAGACAAGGTGTGTGTCCATACAGCAAAAGGAGTTGTACATGTTGATTTTGGTTTAGGTGAATACACTTGTGCAGTTTGGTAAATGTCAGGCATTCCATCTCCCTATACCTGTGCAGCTATTAAGGCTGTCAATTGCAATGTGTATGAATTTGTTGACGAATGCTACAAGATTACATCAAAGTAAAAGATTTATGGGAAGACTATAATTCTAGTAGTGACAGTAGACATGCCAAATTCTAACAACTAGTGGGTGAAAAATATAGCAAGTCAAGTATTCTTGGCATCACCTTTGACTAGTCAACTACCACGAAGGCCTAAAATAAAAAGATGAGAGTCATAATTTCAAAACAAAAAGATTTATCATTGTCGCACATACCAACAAGTTGGCCACACAAGAAGAACATATAAGAATCCAAATCTAAGTTGAAGTTAGATGTCAATAGATATGGTTATTTTTTTGGCGTAAATGGAATGACTTTTGAACCCTTCTTAATTTCTTTAAGCGATGGGTTAGTAGACAAGGTATCCCATTTGTATATAATGTTTAATGAATGGCATATGTTTTATGGGTTGAATGACAAGAAAACATTAGGTGTTGGTTTAATCTTAATGTTAACTTGTCGATTTCAACATATGCAAAGTAACTACTGTCATATGCCTGCTGGTTTTTGGTAAATACTGTTATG